CAGAGTATCCTTCCTCAGATAGCTACACAATTTTCCAAGGTGGAAAATTCCACAATTTTCAGCGAACATGGGAGAATAGAAAATGGAATTGTTTATTATACTAGTAAAATCAAAACTACTGCACCAGACATCTTTCAGAAATCATTTGTGACTTGCTTTCCATCTTGCTTTCAAATTCTTTCCTGGCCTCACCACCTTCCTACCTCTGTAATGTCCTCCAAATCCAGTCCTGAGGAAGGGTCCCGATCTGAAACGTTGACTTCCCTGCTCCTCTGACCTGCTGAGTTCCTCCAGCTCCACACTGTATTGAAAACGACAAAGTTCACAGGTTATTCTCAATGTGAAAGCGTGACTTCGTCTCCACAAGGACTGTGCGATGGTCGCTCTTACCGATACTGTCATGGACAGATGCATTTCCATGTGATATCAAGAAACAGTTGGAGACACTGGATACTGCAAATGCTGTAAGCCCTGACATCATTCTCAAAATATTACTGAAGTCTTGTGCTCCAGGATGAGGTCAAGTATGTGTTCTCCCTCTTGTTGGTTCCCTCACCACCTGCCGCAGACCCAGTCTAGCAGCTATGTCCTTTAGGACCCGACCAGCTCAATTAGTAGTCCTGCTGCCGAGCCGCTCTTGGTGGTGGATGTTGAAATTCCCCACCCAGAGTACATTTTGTGCCCTTGTCACCCTCAGTGCTTCCTCTAAGTGTTGTTCAATACAAAGGAGTACCGATTCATCAGCTGAGGGAGGGCGGTACATGGTAATCAACAGGAGGTTTCCTTGCCTATGCTTAACCTGAAGCAATGAGGCTTCATGGGGTCCAGAGTCAATGTTGATGACTCCCAGGACAACACCGTCCCGATTGTATATCACTGTGCTGCCACCTCTGCTGAGTCTGACCCGGACATATCCAGGGATGGTGTCTGGGACATTGTCTGTAAGTGAGCATGACTATGTCAAGCTGTTTCTTGACCAGTCTGTGAGACAGCTCGCCCAATTTTGGCGATAGTAGGAACTGCAGATGCTGGAGAATCTGAGATAACAAGGTGTAGAGCTGGATGAACCCAGCAGGCCAAGCAGCATCAGAGGAGCAGGAAGGCTGACATTTTGGGTCTAGACCCTTCTTCAGAGAGAATTTATTTTCGCTTTTCCAGCAACTTCTGTTTTTGTTCCTGATTTATAGCATCTGCTTTTGGTGGTTGAGAGTCAATCACTTTGCTGTGGGTCTGGAGTCATATGTAGGCCAGACTAGATGAGGATGCCAGGTTTCCTTCCCTGTAGGACATTAGTGAACCAGATGGGTGTTTTGGACAATCAACAATGATTTCATAGTCATCAGTAGATCCTTAATATTAGATTTTTAAAATCTGAATTCAAATCCTAGCATCTGCAATGGCAGGATTTGAACCTGGGTCCCCAAAATATTTGTCAGTGTATAAATATTTGAACACTTGATTTTTTCCATCTTGAAGTACAGGGGAAGAAGATATATGGGAACACCACCCCCTGCAAGTTTCCCTCCAAGCCATCCACCATACTTGGAAACATCCTGACTTCCTTCAGTGTCCCTGGTTCAAAATTCTGCAATTCCCTCCCTATAAGGGCATGGACTGCAGTAGTTCAAGAAGGCAGCTCACCAACATCTTCCCAAGGGCAACGAGGAACTAGCAATAAATGCTGGCCCAGCCAGCGTTCCTTTAATGGATTTGAACAAAATGCATTTTCTATGAGGAACAGCTCTCAGGGAAAGAATTGAAAAAAAAAAGTACATTCTGCAAAAAATATACGTTTAAAAAGCTGTCCTTTTTTTTCCAGCGGGTGGGAAGACGCCTCTGTTGTAGGGACTCATGTGCAGGGTGAACTGCTGTGTTTGCAGCAAGACCTGGGAGTTCTGCAGAGCGGAAACAGAGGGAATTAACACTCAGGCGAACAGGGCTGGGTACATACGAAATGGGTAAAGGACAAGTCTGGAACTGATGCTGAACTGAGAAACGGCTCCCTCTACCGCCTTCCACTGGACTGCTCTGTGTATGTGTGTGTGTGTGTGTAAAATTTAAAACCTATTTTCTTAAATCACACGGTTGCAGATGTTTAACGAAACAGGATTGGAGCAGAAAAAAAACCAACAAATTGGCGATTTAAAATAAACCATCCAGGCGTCAAGCAGTTTGCAGGAAGTGTCTGAGATTGGTCTGTGTTTCTTGTGTGTGTTGGATGGGTTTGACAGAAGAAGTTAATCCTGAGTTAGAGAGATGGGCCACGGCACGGGGCAGGCTGGAGAACGAATCAGTCACTGGGTCTGACGAGTCCCAAACTGCTCGAATAAGAACCCAGACTGCTCAGGAATTCCTTCTGTTTATAGAGAAATATTTTCGAAGTTTGGCAACTTCACAGGGAAAGCTGTGCCTCTGAAACCCAGCGTTCCCTCCCAAGGGCTTCTGGTGAGTTGTGTGTTTGACAGCCGTGTGTGCCTCAGCTGGAGATAACCAGGTCTGAGTGTGTATCAGAGAGAGAGTGTAACCCCAGCTCAGAGAGAGAGAGAGAGTCTGTAACGCCAGCTCATAAAGAGAAAGACTGTAACCCCAGCTCAGAGAGAGAGACTGTAACCCTAGCTCAGAGAGAGAGACTGTCACCCCAGCTCAGAGAGAGAGACTGTAACTCCAGCTCAGAGATACAGAGACTGTACTGCCAGCGGAGGCACACAGAGACTGTATTCCCAGCACAGGGGCTCAGAGAAATATTGGATTCCCAGCAGAGACAGAAAGACGGGATTCCCAGCACAGAGGCACAGAGAGACTCTAATCCCAGCACAGACACACAGAGAGCTGTACTCCCAACACGGAGACTGGATTCCCAGCACAGAGAGAAACTATTTTCAGCACACACAGGGAGACACTATTCCCAGCACAGACAGAGACTGTATTCCCTGTGCAAAGATACAGAGAAAGATTGTATTCCCAGCAGAGGGACAGAAGGTGACTGTATTCCTTGCACAGAGACACAGAGAGATTGTATTCCCAGCACAAGAGACAGAGAGAGACTGTATTCCCATCACATACAGAGACGGTAATCCCATTATAGACACAGAGAGAGGCTGTATTCCCACGACAGACACAGAGAGACTGTATTCCCAGCACAGAGACAGACTGTACTCCCAGCACACACACACACACAGATTGTATTCCAGTACAAACATACACACACACAAGCGCGCAGAGACTGTACTCACAGCACAGAGACAGAGACTGTACTCCCAGCACTGTAACACAGAGACTGTATTCCCAGCACAGAGACTGTACTCCCAGCACTGTAACACAGAGAGACTGTATTCCCAGCACAGAGACTGTACTCCCAGCAGAGACCTACACAAAGGTACTGTACCCCCAGCAGAGACAGAGAAGTGACAATGGCTAATAGATACTAATTCCAGGATAGTGTTCAATTAGACAGTCAGAGAGAGAGAGAGAGAGGGACTGTAAGCGTCCCATGAGCCGGGGGAGGGGAGGGATGAATGCAGCTGAGAAATAGAGAGAAGGCTGCGAGCCCAGACAGGAGAACTCCCCAGCCTCTCTCTCTCTCTCTCTCTGTGTGTGTGTGTGTGTGTGTGTATGTATACATGCGGGGGACAGTATTTGAGACACGGAATACATACATTAACCCGATCAGTTTGATGGGCCGGAGCTCGACCTGATCACCCACAGAGAGAGAGGGAGAGGGAGGAGCGAGGGAGGTAGGAAACTGTGTGTGTGTGTGTGTGTGAGAGAGAGAGGGACAGCGAAAAAGACAGAGAGTGTGCGAATCAGGGAATAAAGGGGCGGCGGAGAGAGAGAGAGGTGTGAGTGTTGGAAGGACTGCAGTAAGAGAGAGAGAGAAGGGAGAAAGACACTGGGGGAGAGAGTGGTTGTGTGAGAATTAAGGAAGAAAGAGAAAGCGGGGAGTGGGGTGGAAAGACAGAGGAGGAAGGGAGAGAAAGAAGAAAACAGTCAGGGAAGGGGGAGGGAGAGACAGAGTGTGAGAGAGGAGAAAACACAGAGTGGGGGGTGAAGAAAATAGACGGGGAAGTGGGGAGGAGAGGGATAATGTGTGAGAGAAAACAGAGGAGGAGGAGAGGGAGAGAGTAGAAAATAGGGAAGAAGAGAGTGTGTGGCAGAGGAGAAAATAGAGGAGGGGAGACAGAAGAGGAGAAAATAACCAGGGAAGGGGGTAAGGGGAGAGAGAGAGGAGAAAATAGACAAGATAAGGGGAGGAGAGAGAGAGTATGTGAAAGAGAGGAAATACGGAGTCGGAGAGGAGAGAGAGAGAGTGTGTGAGAGTGGAAGAGAATATAAGGAAGCGGGGAGGAGAGAGAGTGTGAGAGAGTGGAGGAGAAGAGAAGGAAGCGGGGAGGGGAGAGAGAGTGGAGGAGAACATAAGGAAGCGGGGAGGAGAGAGAGTGTGTGAGAGTGGAGGAGAATATAAGGAAGCGGAGAGGAGAGAGTGTGTGTGAGAGTGGAGGAGAATATAAGGAAGCGGGGAGGAGAGAGAGTGTGTGAGAGTGGAGAAAAGGAAGCGGGGAGGAGAGAGACAGTGTGAGAGTGGAGGAGAAAGAAGGAAGCGGGGAGGAGAGAAGAGGGAGAGGCAGAGTGTGGGAGAGGAGGAGGAGGAGAGGCTGGGAAGCTGGGGGTCTCACTGAGAAGTTAGTGCGTGCTGGAGTTGGCTGCAGTGGGTCTCTCCGGGGCTCTGTGTGTGGGTGTGTGGGGGGCTCTGTGTGTGGGTGTGTGGGGGTGTGTGTGGGTGGGTGTGTGTGGGTGTAGGGGGTGTGTGTGGGTGGGTGTGTGTGGGTGGGTGGGAGTGTGTGTGGGGGAGTTTGTGTGTGGGGGAGTTTGTGGGTGGGGGGAGTGTGTGTGTGTGGGTGAGTGTGTGTGTGTGGGTGAGTGTGTGTGGGTGTGTGGGTGGGTGGGAGTGTGTGTGTGGGTGGGAGTGTGCGTGCGTGTGTGTGTGGGTGGGGGTGTGTGTGTGTGGGGGTGTGGGTCTAATGCGGCCCAGTGCAGAGCCACAGTCACACACAGTGCTGCCCTGAAGATGTAACATGGCGTTAGCTGGCAGCGGGTGCTTGTTCCTGCTGCTGCTGTGCCACGGGCTGGCCGAGCGGTCTGGCCGCTGGGAGCGGAGCGGAGCGTCGGCATCCGAGGGGCCGAAGCGGCTGCCTCACCCCTTGCTCTACTTCGACCCCCGCGACGTGAGCAATCTGCGCCAGAAGTCCCACAGCAGCGGCCATTCAGCCATCACCCGGGCTATCAGGAACGCTGTTGGTACCATGTTGGGCAAACCCAGCTTCTACCTCCCCCCCAGTGACTACCTCAGCTTCTCTGCCAAGTGGAACGAGGTCTATGGCAACAACCTTGGGGTGCTGTCCCTCTATTGCCTCCTGTACCCAGAGGACCAGGCAGCTCTAGACTTCACCCTGGACTATATGGACCGGATGGCCAGTTACCCTCAGTGGCAGGTCAGGGTGGCACCCAACGACGAGGTGCCAGTCGCCCACTCCCTGACTGGCTTTGCCACGGCTTTTGACTTCCTCTACCCGTCCCTGGATGCAGCCCGGAGGCAGAGCTACCTGGAGAAGATCCATGGGGTCACCAAGGAGCTGTACGAATTCTCCAAGTACCGGGCTTGGGGTAAACACTACCTGCATAACCACCAAGCAACCAACATTGTGGCACTGCTGGTGGGCGCTCTGGTGCTGAGCCCCCACCGGCCCCAGACTGCCCTGTTGTGCAAGCAGATCGCCGTCGATGTGATGGAGAAGACCATGTTCCTGCTCGACCATGTTGTGGACGGCTCCCTGGATGAAGGTGTTGCCTATGGCAGCTACACCGCCCGCTCCATCACCCAGTACGTGGCCCTGGCGCTGCGCCACTTCCACCTCAACCACACCGGGAGCCCCTGGCTGAAGCAGCATTTCTGGTTCTACTACGCCACCCTGTTGCCTGGCTTCCAGAGGACTGTGGGCATCGCTGATTCCAACTACAACTGGTTCTATGGCCCAGAGAGCCAGCTCGCTTTTCTGGACAGGTTTGTGCTCACTCGCTGCTCACTAAATCCCTTCGCGTCCCCCACCGATGCCAAGTCAAAGTAGAAAGCGGGTTGGGTCGGGGCTGGGATTACAGAATTGTCGTGGCGCCAATGGATGCCATTCAGCTTATCACACCTGTGCCAGTTCTACCTCCGAATGCTAATCTCCTAACTTTTTCCATATCCCTGCACACCATATCTATCCAAATAATCATTGAATGCCTCAACCGAACCTGCCTCCACCACATGTCCAGGCAGCACATTCCAAACTATGTGGAACAGATTTTGATTTTTGCTTCATTTGCACATCACTTTAAACTATCGGTCTCTTACAAGAAGGAGCAGTTTCTCTCCTCCATCCACGCTGTCCAGCCTGCTTACAGTTATTGAAAATGATCTATCAAATCTCCTCTCAATCTTCTTCTCTCCTCAAAGTCCCAACTTCTTCAATCTCTATCCTCATCTCTGAAAACATCAGAATTGAGATTGATAGATTGTTAAACAAAATCAACATACTGTGGATGCTGGAAGTCTGAAATATAAACAGGTATGAATACATATATTTCTTTAAATAGAAAGCCAGAAAGTCTGGCAGCATCTGCAAAGACACAAACAGAGTTAAGTTTCAGGTCTGATATGAATCTCTTTCACTTCCGAAGAAGAATCATATTGGACTCAAAATGTTAACTGTTTCCCCATCCACAGATACTGCTGGACCTGCTGAGCCTTTCATTCAGTTCTGTTTATATTCCAATAATTCTTTTTGGTGGGCAAAATGTATGAAAGGTGAAAGATCCACACTGACAGAGATGGAGTTAGAATACTGGTCATAGAGTCTTAGAGATGTATAGCGCGGAAACAGACCCTTCGGTCCCACTTGTCCATACCGACCAGATATTCTGAATTAATCTAGTCCCATTTACTAGCATTTTGCCCATATCCCTCTAAACACTTCCTATTCATATACCCATCCAGATGCCTGCTATCTGTTGTAATTATACTAGCCTCTATCACCACCTCTGACAGTTGATTCTATACATGCTCCACCCTCTGTGTGAAAAAGTTGCCCCTTAGGTGCCTTTTAAATCTTTGCCCTCTCACTTTCAACCTATCCCCTCTCGGTTTGGGCTCCCCTACTATTGAAAAAAGACCTTGACTGTTCAAATAAAAACCAAAATAACTGCGGATGCTGTAAATCAGGAACAAAAGCAGAAGTTGTTGGAAAAGCTCAGTAGGTCCGGAAGCATCTGTGAAGAGAAAGTCAGAGTTAACGTTTCAGCTCTGGTGAGGGTCCTGTTCTGAGGAAGGGTTAACTCTGATTTTTTCTTCACAGATGCTGCCAGAGCCACTGAGTTTTTCCAGCAACTTATGTTTTTGTTCCTTGAATGTTCACCCTGTCCATGCCCCTCATGATTTTATAAACCTCTAAAAGGTCACCTCTCAGTGCTCCAGGGAAAATAGCCCCAGCCTATTCAGTCTCTCCCTAATGTTCAAACCCTCCAACCCTGGTAACATCCTTGTAAATCTTTTCAAGTTTCATATCTTTCCTATAGCGAGGAGACCAGAACTGAACGCAGTATTTCAAAATGAGCGTAACCGATGTCCTGTACAGCAGCAACACGACTTCCCAACTCGTCCACTCAAGCCAGCAGCGCACAAATTCGGGGCAGGCATAGGCCACTCAGCCTTCAAGCCTGTTCTGCCCTTTAATAAAATCATGTAATCTCAGATCTGCGTTCCTGCTTACCCGCAACAACTTGAAGGATGGCACAGGCTGGAGCTGAATGACCTCCTCTGTTTCCCATTTCCAGCTGTTTTCACCTTCAAACTTATCCATTTCAGATCCTTTTATTGAGACCACAATCACTGTGTTTTCCATTTGTACGAAGAGAAGCCACGTGATTATCCTGAATCCCAAAATATTTCTATTTAAAGTTATTCGGAGCTCAGCCTGGCATTTTCTGACTAATTGACATGTTTTCAATCATGTTCTATTATTGGCTGTATGGTTGTTTTGAGATTATCTAATGGGATTGGTTTTAGAACAAAACAAAGCATGTTTGTAGCTTCTTCAGAAGTTGCTTTGAGCTTGTGGGATGTGTTGAGGCAGTGGGAGTGCTTGATAGCACGACTAAAGGAAGGGAATGTAATCTTAAGTTTGAAAGTTAGATTCAGCTAGATTCAGAATCACTGTGTCTAGAACAACAGACATGTCTCAGTGCCTGAATAAACCAGTGATTGAGAAGCATTGTGTGATTTGATATGTGGCAAGATTGTAGTCTGGAAGCATTGTTGTGATATTTCCTCGCCTTACCTTATTCTCTATTTCTCCTTCTCCATATAGCTTTCAAATTTAGCTGCATTTGTCTAGCAAGAATTGGATAGCTGGGACTCAGACAGCCGACTGATGCCCACCTTGAGTTTTGCTTCAGTTGAAGTCAGTGAGATGTCACATTGTATGGGGATGTCAAAATGGGAAATGACCCCTAATCTCACAGTTATATTAGGTCCATCTCCTTCCCAAGGCTACATACTAACTACCAACTCAAAGAAAAAGTTTGTCTTGCAGTTTTAATATTGTTGTAAATATCTTTTCGAAGTTTAACAAGTAAGACACTCTCTGAAAGAGTACAGAAAGTAATGTGAGTCAAGTTTATTTTTATTTCAAAATATATTTTATTTATAAAAGAAATTACAAAGTCTCCAAAGCTGTTTGGATCTGTACAAAAACAAAAGTTGCTGGAAAAGCTCAGCAAGTCTGGCAGCATCTGTGAAGAAAAAGTCAGAGTTAACGTTTCAGGTCCGGTGACCCTACCTCAGAATGGAAGGAGGGTTTCTGAAAAAGGGTCACCAGACCCGACATGTTGCTTCTGATTTTTTCTTCACAGATGCTGCCAGACCTGCTGAGCTTTCCCAGCAACCTCTGTTTTTGTTCCTGATTTACAGCATCCACAGTTCTTTCAGGATTTTTTGGATCTATACAGTAGCATATGAAGAAAACAAACAAACATTGGAGTTTGAATTTATCCAACAAGCGAACCAAAGGCATCTCTTACTTAGGCACTGCACTATTCTAGTGCAGTGTTAAAATGGATTAATAAAATACTTCAGGCCGTCTAAGAGCTCCTGCACACTTTTCAAACTTGCCAATTTCTGTAAACATTGTTTGAGAGCCAATGCCCTCAATTTCGAACCTTTTTAATGTAACTGTTTCCAAGTTAGCATTTTGCTTGTGATTGTAAGTTCAACACTCTTCTGGATCTAATTAGCTACTGAATGAAAAGAAAGTCTTGCTTTTCTAACACATCTTTCCTGACCTGATGGAGTCCTAAAATGCTTTACAGCCAATAAAGTACTTTTGAACTATTGCTGTTGTAATGTAGGAAATGCAACAAACAATTTGCATGTAATAGTTTTCCTCAAAACAGCAGTGTGAGAATGATCAGATAATTTACTTTCAGTAATGTTGAATCAAGGATCAGTGTTGCCCAGGACACCAGGTAGAGGTCCCTCTTCCAAACTATTGTTCTTTTTCCTTCAGTTAGTGGATGTGAACATCATTGGCTAACCTAACATTTATTGCCCATCCCTAAATTGCCCAGGAGGCATTTAAGAGTCAAGCATATTGCTGTGGATCTGGAGAGTCACATGTAGGCCAGACTGGGTAAGGATGGCAGATTTCCCACCCGAAAGGATAGTAGTAAGTTTTAATGATAAGGCCACACAGTTGCTATTAGCCTAGCTTTTTGTTTCATTCTAGATTTTCATTGAATCAAATTTCAGCAACTGTCATGTGCTATAATCTTAGACTGGGTTTCTGGTCTAGTGATATCAGGGCAGTGGGAGTTTTAACCTAAGAAAGGAGACAGAGCCTGAATTTTAAAGATGGCATATCCAACTGTGCCTTCTGTATTGTCACTGGATAGTCCACTGAGTGGTACAGTTTGGCCTCACAAATCCTTTTTTCATTTATTGGATCCTGTCTTCCATCTAATGACAGACCTTTCTTTCTGTTTGTTTTTCCCCATCTCCCACTCTTTTAAAACCTGTTATGTTTCGGACTTCTTACATTTCTGATGAAAAGTCATCAACTCTGTGCATTGTTTTGCAGTTGCTGCCTGACATGGCTGAGTATTTATAGCATTTGTCAATTATATTAATCCGAAGGATACAGGGAACGAGATATTTCTGTGACATGGAGTGATTGGCGACACTGGGTGGTTTATACAGTGTGGAGCTGGAGGAACACAGCAGGCCAGGCAGCATCAGAGGA